CTTTATTTGTAATCCTAAAAATAATGCTTACCTTAACACATATTTTGGAAATAATACAATTATTATTTTGCATAGATTATAAATTTATTGAATGCATGTATATATTTTCAATTGATTACACCAATTTTATAAACCTTAATAATAAACAGTTTTAATTACTTATTTCTATCAAATTGACTAAAATTCTACCAGTAAAGGTTTTATTCATTTAAATATTCTTATGGCTTATGAAACACCATGTCAAGGGATTACAAATTGTCAATATAATTTGGTGAAATTAACAAAATAAAATTAGCTTATTAAATGATATATAAATAGGTAAAAATTATTTTTGTAACTTCAATAGTTAAAAAGTTATTCACGTTAAAAGTGGTCACTGCGGCCGAACCCTAAGTCACAGGACAATACATAAATAAGATATTTTGACTCCTATTTGAAAGTACTTTCATATTTAATAAGAAAATCCTTAAATTCCCAACATTTAATTATGGCTACTTTTTTAAGGCAAACCTGGACGATCTACAAGTCATTGTTTAGTTTCATTTTACATTAGGGGGCCATTTATATACAGCCGTAATACTTCAGAATCGCCTGTAATATTATGACTTCCAAATTACAACTTGAGCATTCTGAATGACTCATTCACCCACACCTTCCTCTCTCCCTACGTACTGATCTGAACGACCCCAATGAATACACATTGCTTCCCCCACTTGACGTTCACTGGTCTAAAGTTACCTTGAAACAATGGCTGTTCATTGGGTTGCCAAACTCGTTAATTTGGGGAATCTGGGTACACTATGGGTACAGTATAATTAATTACCAGACCATATATTACTATATCATTACGTATTCCTTGGACTCCAAGCTTAAGGCAATTAATGCAAAAATAGAAAATATTTCAAAATATAAAGGCTTGGTTATGAACGCGTTTTTATTATTGAAAATTGTACCTGATATTGATACAATATATGCCGAGATTAGCGGGTACAGTCGATTTTATTGGTACAAGTTTTTGGGTATTTTTTAGTTATTTTTTGGTTGTGTACGACTCTATAATAGCTATGTTGGCATTCATGGCATTTTTAGGTGGTGAACGTGAGATTTATGTCAGGATCATGATCACCACTAACCTTGTTATATACATTGTGTTATTGATATTTATAATACAAATATCAGACTATGTATTTAATGAGCCACGCAAAACGTATACATTGCTTAACAGCTACATAAGCTCTCTACACAATAAACCCATAATCTTAAGATTAAAGGTACTATACATGCAGATTGCTTTTTTGTCAAATGGATATTGATAATTTAGCTGATATAGGGATAAACTACATGTATTTTTTAAAAATTTAGAACTAATAAAATTGACCTAGTAGAGTGGCCGCCAGTGGAGTGGATGATGGTATCAGTTGGTGGCGGTGCTCACGAAGGCCTACCTCTGAACCACTCAAACCACACACATGTAGGAGTCGACTGAACACTACTAAGTCTGAAGGGAACTACAGTTTTAAATAACAATAAACATAACTTTAATTATAACAACATATGAGTCGGTTCTCCGAAGAGACTAAGACTCCCTTAAAGCATACAAAATGCAGTCTCTTTTATACAGTGTATTAGGTTTCAGTTACAATGTATTTAGGTTTACATTCAAAAAATAACTTATAAAACAATTCTAAACCTTAGATATAAAACATTAGTAGTTTTCCATACAATCATAAAAATATACATACAAATCAAGTCTAAGTAAAATACAGTAAATACAGTAAAAGTCAAACAAATGAGTGAAACTTAGAATAAAACAATGGTAACATAAATTCAATACTAAGTTCACTCCATCATTCCCCCAGACTTAAGTCGGTCTCTCGACTTAAAAGTCTCAAAAAACACTCCCTTCTAAGACACGAAGTAAATAAATTGTTGGCTTACATCGAAGTGCTAAGTGGCGGGTCTATCCACCAGCGGACCACTTTTCCCCATAACCTCTGAGAGCACCATTTGGACAGGTCTTCGGGTCAGTCATCCGTCGCGAAAGGTCTTCGGTAATGCCTTTCGGGCCGGACAGGACTTCGGGTAACTAATGCCCATCCGGTCCGGACAGATCTTTCAGGTATTGCCTTCCAGTCAGGTCTTGTCTTCCGGTCTAACAGAGTGAACGGTGTCCTTCTTCTCCAGCCTTCCTCCAAGTTCTTCGTTCGTGTCATTGGAGTCTTCACTTCTCATCCAAACACTGACCGTTGAGAAAGCGGTCACTCGCTCTCACCCTCGGAGATGTCCTCCCTGACATCTGAGTCCTCTCTCTCTCTCTCTCTCTCTCTCTCTTAGTGCCATCACTTCGTCGGTCGACTCCATTGTCTTCATGTCTTCGTGGGTTCGACAACTCTTCCTCAGATGACATGAGGTATGAGTCGGAGACTGTCCTCATGCCATCTACCAGTAGTTATTGGGCGCCAGTGGAGTGGATATAATTAAAGTTATGTATAATTTTAATTGTACCTCTGAATTTAATACAATACTAAGTTCACTCCAGTTTAAAAATTAATTTATTAAATTGTTGGGACCCCATCTCTCTGGGTACCCAGACTTCTCAGGAATCGCAAATAAAACTCCTTTTTATTAAATTTGTTAATTTTATTAATACAGTAGAGTTTAAAATTTTATAGCTAACAAAATTATTTTAAAAGTAAACTCTTTTCAAAAAATAACATTAAATAAAAATTTTATTATTTTTTGCAGAGGTTTGAACGGTGTGACCAACTCAAGTTTTGTAATTAGTGGACATTTTGATAAAATAATTGAATAAATAGAGGACAAATAGTGGACAACATATTTTATAAAGGAATTGAATTACAATTTTTTGAAAATTTTTTCCTGTTAATGTTACTCACAGCAGAAATTTTTGATTAGTTTTTTGGTTAGTCTTTTTTACATACTTTCTTATAAGTTTGTTGCACTTAAATGTAATTTAGTTAAATGATAATGTATTTTATTATGATTATAATGTTAAATACAGTTTGTATAGTAGTTTATGATGCAATTATTTTCTAAAATAAGGCATTTTAAATTTTTAAAAATAAAGGACTTCCACTGTTCATTATTTATCACGTTATATTTATTAAATTTTAAGATTTAATAATTGTTACTTATATATTCGAGTTTCTTGTTAAATTCCCTACAAAATTGATAAATCTTATGTTTATATTTATTATAATAAAATAAAACGATAAAACTTACCACTCAGACAGAACCTGAGGAACCAGGACAACATAAATGATATTTTCAGATATCCAATAAAGTGTACTTACATATTAAATTGTATAAATCTAATTGTCAACTTAGAAAATATAACATTATATACCCGCAAGATCACTTTTATCGTTAATTTCAACATAATAAATATAAACATATGATATATCAATTTTATAGGAAATTTAACAAGGAACTCGAATATATAAGTAACAATTTTTAAATCTTAAAATTTAATAAATATAACGTGATTTTAAAGATTTCAAAGCAATAATCTGACCATTTTTGAATAAAAATGACGTTATTTATTAATTTAATTAATATCATCGTATTCTGTGTAAATTTTTCTATAAAATTGATATATCACATAAGATGTAAAAACTTAATAATAAAAGTGGTCACTGCCGTCAAACCATTTGTCATAGAACTATTTTTCTGGTATAGTTAGAGTCAGCTCATTGAGATTTACCAGAATATCATAAAATAAATTTGTTTCCTTTCAATATCCCAATTCGATATATCGATAACTACACACCGGCACACCAGCCTGTCACACTGCAATATGAATATTAATTTTATATGCGCCCTCCCTCCCTGTTAATTTTTTAATGAACTATTTTTTAACAACTTGAGTGAATGATGCTCATCTCTGAATGGTTACTAGACATTGACTAGTAACCAATGATCAGAAGACATATTATTGATTATGTTTGTAAATATAGCACTTTATCTAGTAATTGGGACATATAATTTAAGTTGTCTAACTCAGAATTAATCGATTGAACAGAGTAAAATCATTTGTAAAATTGAGAGTGCAAGTTAAATGAGTTTTTACGATTAATCAAGGATGTTTGTATTTATTTATAGTAATGTTCCTCATATCAAGGAAAAACCCTTTCCTTGAGACTCCTGGCTATCCATGAGGTCCTGCGAACGCTAGTTTTGTCACGCGTTTTGGTAAAACACTAAAACGCATAGATTTTTATAATGCATTCTCCTATTAATCGCAAAAGGGGTTTAGGACTACCTCTTGTTTATCTGTCATTTTTTATAGACAATCAATTCAAATGATATAATTTTTGTTGTGGTTTACAGTATGATAACTGGGCTTTAATATGTCAAAGGTTTTTCAGATTTATTTTTATTACTGATATAAGTTATAATTTTTACCATTATATTTTATTGCAATTTTTATGTCCAGTAGTGATAAATAAATGTTGTCTATGAGTACAATATGGATTAAAAAGTGAGTAACCATTCACATATTTCGCAGCATTCTTGTCCACGTATTGAATCATAGGGTTACCAGTGCTGCCACCATCGTAGACCATCAAGTTAAAATTGTCTTTAGTATAACCAGCTTTTGTCAACGCGGGACCAAGGTGCTTTTTCACAAACTCTCGTTCATTAGATGCGTTTAATATCTGTATAATATGCGCATAACTTAATTAAACTTATTTGACCAATTTATGACTTTTAATTAATAAGTAATTTTGAATTTTAAAAATTTGGGCCTTTTAGGCCGTAAGCGTTTTGGGAGAATCCGGGAATAAAGTAATAGTTTTTATTTTATTTTAAAAATATCTGGCTCGATAATTTGTATAAATTGCAAAAATAATACACAATTTTCTGTTTTAATTTATATTTATTTCATAGACATTACATTTAATTCCAATAAATATATGACTGAATTGACTGCCCGGGAACATGCACGTCAACTTTGCCATGAGCTGGATCATTGATGGTTACATCATGAGGGACGGCACCACTATTGACCAAGGCAATAACCATTGAATTATCAGGCCTTTCAAAAGCAATAAACCTGAAACTTCCCGGAGTTTTACTGGCTGTCAGCTCAACCTTAACTGAGTCGGGTGCTACAAACTTGCTGAAATGACCAATGGCATAAAAGTTGGGATTTTTGAAATATTCCTTGTTTTTAGCATCAATGACCAGGGGTGGGTCAGACATTTTCAAATCCTTGTTAGGGTGACCAAATGTGTCCAGGGCTAAATTCCATGCCACCCAACCACTTACCCAGTGATGAAAAGTCTAACGATAATAAATGTAAAATTGCTTATTCCTTGATCATTTATATTTTTAACTTATATACTGAGCACTTACATCTACGATCTGATTGGCATAATCAGTAGCCTGTCCCCAGTCGCCCAGAGTGGCCGGTGTGAAGGGGTCGGTATTGTGGCGAGAGTTTTGATTACATTCAGTCATCATTGTAAATGTATCAGGGTACTTTTCGTGCAATGCATCGACACTGGCATACCTATTGGGCAGATAACAATGGAATGCGATGCCTATATAAAATATAAAGGTGATTTAATTTAGGAAAATTTGTTTATTTAAAGTTTGTTTATCAGCTCCAAACGTACCTGTAATATATTTAGCAGTATCCTTGTCACTGAGACACGTGTCCACGTATTCGATCATTGGATTTTGAGCACTGCCATCATCGTAGACCATCAAGTTCATTTTATCCTTCGTATAGCCAGCCTTAGTCAATGCGGGACCAAGGTGCTTTTTCACAAAGTCGCGTTCAATAGATGCGTTTAAAAACTGCATTGAACTAAATGACATAGGTTCATTTTGCATGGTTAACCCCCATATCTCTACACCATTCTTTTTGTATCCGTCAAGGAATCTAAGAATGTTAAATTCTATATTTAAACATACTCAAGTTAAATATTATATTTACTTGACAAAATAATTAGCCCATGTTTCATATTGTTTTTCAGGCTGAGTTTTTAATAACTGTTTGTCATTGAGCCATTTCGGTGTATTCCAGGGTGTCCCCATGAGTTTAAGGCCGTGTTGAGTCACCTCTTTAGCTAGTTTAATTTGCGGAATCTATGTCATAAAACAATAAAATTATATTAATAAATATTATTTATTGTCATCTAGGATTTAGTCATATGAATTATTTCATTACAGGTAAACAATTGTTAAAAGGTACCTTGTATTTAATATCCTCATCCGGCATAGTAAAATGTTCAAGTGAATAATCATCCTTTGTATCATCGTATGTATATAAATGTGTTGAGTAATCGGTACCGCCTATAGGTATACGAGCCATACTGAACCCAATACCAGATGCTGAGAAATAATCCTTGATAACCCTATCGGACATGTCCTTGGGCAAACTACCAATATTAATAGCGGCTGCATCGGTAAACGCGGCACCTATACCAAATATCTTTTGGAACTTTTTGCTTTTGTCCAGGGTCAGTATGATACGATCATCATTATCATGGTCACTTTGTTTGGTAAATTTTAACTGAGATTCTTTGAATCGGTCCCCACTTTGACTGGTCTGGTAGGATAGAATATTACCAACGGGTTGTTTGGTAATAGGATCTAGGTCATCGCAATAGGTAGCATTGCAAGCGCAGTATACGCTGTCCTTTCCCTTACGACCGGCGCATTCGTGTCTGCATTCAATTACCGCTATATATAATATCCAACGGGTTGTTTGGTAATAGGATCTAGGTCATCGCAATAGGTAGCATTGCAAGCGCAGTATACGCTTTCCTTTCCCTTACGACCGGCGCATTCGTGTCTGCATTCAATTACCGCTATATATAATAATTAACAAAATTTGCATAATATTAACGTAAAGCTTAAAATAATAAAACATAAATTTTAATTACCAAAAGTAACTGAAAATACAATAAATGTATGGAAAATACAATAAATATTACCGCTATATATAATAATTAACAAAATTTGCATAATATTAACGTAAAGCTTAAAATAATAAAACATAAATTTTAATTACCAAAAGTAACTGAAAATACAATAAATGTATGGAAAATACAATAAAGATTCATCTTAAAATAAATCAAACTGAATTACTTTCCTAACTTGCTCAAAGGTAAATAACTTGCAACTTATATATCCAAGTTTTATCAATTTCAATGGAAATAATATACGTACAATAAGTACACTATAATACAATATACTTTAATGTGAACTAGTTTATAAAAACACTCTACCATTAAATAATAAATACTACTGCATAAATCTTTACTTTATAATAGATAAGGTATACATGCACTTATCAACAGTCCCACCTGGCTAAACGTTCTCAAATATTTTTTTAATTATCAGATAAATACAAGGATATAAATAGTGTTCTGAAAGTAAAACTTAATATGAGAAATATACATGCTTATTATAATAAACTAAAAATAAACTAATTATCTGTTGTCTAATTAACAACAAATTTTTAGTACCGGAGTCCATCAAGATTAGTATCCTTGAAGACAACCCCCTGTCCGGTGTGTACAGCTATTGAGCTGGGAAAATTGAAAGCTTTTTAAAAATTTATTTAATAAAAATACAATAGTTTTTAAAATTCCAAAAAATGTAATTTAACAAACAAGATATAAATATATTTTGGTATTTAATTATAGTGAATACATATGAATGCACTCAAATACTTAATCATATATCATATAAATATAATAGAATTTAATAAAATATAATTATTCTGTTTATTGTTTAAATATTTAAAGATAATTCAATCCTCAGATTTGGGCAATTTATTGTATTTATTATAGTTAGGCGGCGTGCACAAAGTACGTACGCAAAATTTTGTTCAAAAATTGATCCCCCCTCCCCCCTACACGCCCATCGTACATAGGAATTTAACATGGTGACATACGCTTTGGCATGACCCCTCCCCTCCCCCTACCAGTGCGTATGTACTTTGTGCACGCCGCCTTATATATTTTTATAATACTCGCCCTCTCTTGGTATTCGGTACATATTTATTGAGTTTTTAAACAGAATTCTCAGAAAAACACTTAATACCTTGATAAGATATCTATATTACATTTTCTATATAATGTTGCCAAAGGTATTGCAAAAGATTTAAAATAAGAAAATTTAAAAAACACATTTTAAATTTGACAAAAAAGATAACTATCTAAAAGTGAATTTTAGTGTTCAGTGTATTTCAGTGTACATGTTTACTTTTGTCACTTGTGCAACTCTGATTGGATTACTTATGAAATGTTTTATCTTATAAATTATTTTTTATTTAAATTTCAAATATTTTTATTTCGCTTTAAACTATTGGAAATATAATAAATATAAATAAATAAAAGTATGAATTTATATTATTTACACAAATAAAATTCAACCATAAAATAATACAAACACTAATTAATTTTAACATGTACTTAAATACTGTATATAATTATATTTTTAATGTATAATTCATTTATTTATATGCTTATCATAAATGTATTTTTACTTCATATATCTCTATTACGTAATTTTCTCAAACAAAAAATATAAAATAAAAGTTCACAAAACTTTCCCTCAATTAACACATTAAATAAAGTATAGTTTTTATTTTTTATAAAAATACCTGGACCAATAATTCGTATAAATTGCAAAATAATACACGATTTTCTGTTTCAATTTATATTTATTTCATAGACATTACATTTAATTCCAGTAAATATATGACTGAATAGACTGCCCGGGAACATGTGCGTCGACTTTGCCATGAGCTGGATCATTGATAGTTATATCAACCGGGTTGGCACCACTATTGACCAAGGCAATAACTACTGAATTATCTGGCCTTTCAAAGGCAACAAACTTAAAACCTCCCGGGGTTTTACTGGCTGTCAACTCAACCCTATGCGAGTCGGGCGCAACAAACTTGCTGAAATGCCCAATGGCATAAAAGTTGGGATTTTTGAAATATTCCTTGTTTTTAGCATCAATGAGCAAGGGTGCGTCAGCCATTTTCAAATCCTTGTTAGGGTGACCAAATGTGTCCAGGGCCAAATTCCATTCCACCCAACCACTCACCCAGTGATGAAAAGTCTAATGATAAAAATGTAAAATTATATATTCCTAGATCATTTATATTTTCAATTTATATACTGAGCACTTACATCTACAATTTGATTGGCATAATTAGTTGCCTGTCCCCACTCGCCCAGAGTAGCCGGTGTGAAGGGTTCGGTATTTTTGCGAAAGTTTTGACAACATTCAGACATTAGTGTAAATGCATCAGGGTATTTCTCGTGCAATGCATCGATACCGGGATACCTGTTAGACAGATAACAATGGAATGCGATGCCTATATAAAATATACAGGTGATTTAATTTAGGAAAATTTATTTATTTAAGCTCCAAACGTACCCGTGATATATTTAGCAGCATCCTTGTCACTGAGACACGTGTCCACGTACTCGATCATTGGATTCTTATCACTGCCATCATCGTAGACCATCAAGTTCATTTTATCCTTTGTATAGCCAGCCTTTGTCAATGCGGGTCCAAGGTGCTTTTTAATAAAGTCGCGCTCAATAGATGCGTTTAAAAACTGCATTGAACTAAATGACATAGGTTCATTTTGCATGGTTAAACCCCATAACTCTACACCTTGTTTTTTGTACCCGTCAAGAAATCTATGAATGTAAAATTCAATATTTAAACACAATCAATTTAAATATTATATTTACTTGACAAAATAATTAGCCCATGTTTCATATTGTTTATCAGGCTGAGTTTTCAATAGTTCTTTATCGTTGAGCCATTTCGGTGTATTCCAGGGACTGCCGTAAAGTTTAAGTCCGTGTTGAGCTACCTCTTTAGCTAGTTTAATTTGGGGAATCTATTTGTCATAAAACAATAAAATTATATTAATAAATATTGTCCAAGTCCCCTAAGATTTAGGCATTATAATTATCTAATAAAAACTTTAAAAATTCTTTAAAACTACCTTGTATTTAATGTCCTCATCTGGCAAAGTAAAATGTTCAAGGGAATAGTCATCTTTTATATCATCGTATGTGTACACATGAGTTGAAAAATCGCACCCGGCTATTGGTATACGAGCCATACTGAACCCAATACCAGATGCCGAGAAATAGTCCTTGATAACTCTATCGGACATGTCCTTGGGCAAACTACCAATATTAATAGCGGCCGAATCGGTAAACGCGGCGCCTATACCAAAAATCTTCTGGAACTTTTTACTTTTGTCCAGGGTCAGTACCACCCGATCAGCGTTATCATGGTCATTTTGTTTAGTAAACTTTAATTGCGATTCTTTGAATCTGTCCCCACTTTGACTTGTCTGGTAGGACAGAATATTACCAGCGGGTTGTTTGGTAATAGGATCTAGGTCATCGCAATAGGTAGCGTTGCAAACACAGTACAGGGTGTCCTTTCCCTTACGACCAACACATTCATGCCTGCAGTCGATGACCACTATTGAGTTAAATATATATAATATTATAAAGGTTACATTTCATTAAGATATAGAATAATTTCATTTTTAATTTTACTAACCAAACGTAAATGACAAACAGAAAAATACACAGAAAATACAATTAAGATTCATTGTATATATAAATTAATTTTAGACAAAATAATTTATAAACTGCTAAATGTAATATTTCAGCTTACTTTATATAGGTATCAAAGATCAATTGTTCAAAATTATTGTATGAGAATCTATCATATGTTTACACCACTAGGGACATTTTATCTTAATTTTATCTTACACTACAGTACACTTGTTGCTCCTAAATTTCCCAGTACATATGTTGCATTATACTATTTACTAAATAGTTGTTAAATCTTTTTCATTAATTTATTAGACATATGAAGCCATTTAGTAAAAATATTCTATAATTAATTTAGGGCTTAATCTGTAATTCTATTATCAAAACTTAATAAATACATATTTATACCTTTACTATTAAATTATCATTAAACACAATATACTTATTATTTTATAATACATTTGTTAAACATGCACACTTGTGTACATTATCACACCTGAATCAACGACCGTGATACACTAATTGTTTATTCTATAAAGTAACAAAAGGATATGATTTAAATCCTCTAAAATCTGGAAATAAATTTTTTAAGCCAATAACATAAAATAAAAATATTTAATTTTCAAACCTTAGATTTAATTGAAAACATTTCACATAAATTATTTTATGTTACTTCAAAATCCTTATGAATTTATATCGGTATGTTTTATACGAAAGAGTCCACTGAACTTTCTATTGAGATCACCCTGTTTATGGAGTTCATTACAGTTTAACATTATAACAGTAATATTTCATGGTCTATTTCGTATAAAATTATGTATGGTTGCAATTTTATTTTTATAAAATAAATTCATTTTAAGTAACTATAAAACTATAAAACTTTAATGTATAACATTATAGTGTGCATAGATCATGGGCTTAGGAACCACATGAAATATCTTTTTATATTTATATATCATAATATGTATGAATCACTCGCAGAAAGACCCTCGTCAATAAAATTAAACTTATTCATATGTTATTTCATATAATATTTATTATGTTTCACATTTATTACAATACTTTTTTAATATATAACCCTAACTGTCCAGTGCGAAGGACTATCTGTGAATGACCTATACAATATTTTATTAATATAATATGTAACTTATGGAAATAGCACATTTATAAATTTGTATTTAAATCTCTAAACTCTGCCTGGTTATAATCTATGCACATAACGTTAATATTTATGTTGAAATAGTATACAAGTCTCAATTATAAAGAAAATTAATGCTATAAAAATATCTACTCAATATTAGAAGTTGGATCGTTTAGTATTTATAATAATCATAAAACAATATATCATTTATTGAATTAACAGTCTAATAAATAATAGATATTTCTTATCCAGTTATCTTTATTATAGCTTAAATATAAATAAAACATAAATACATAAATTATTTTGACACAATATACAGTAAATTTATGAACAGTAATTATATTGTAATGTAATTATACAGTAATTGTAGTTGCTATTTAAAAACGACAAAAATACATGCTCGGGCAAATAAGTTGGGTCACTTGGTCCGTAATAAATAAATTGAAGCTAGGTTGGTCTGTTGATTTCTGACTAAAAACAATTAAAATAATAATAAATATATAACCATTGCGTTTGTCTTGTGATTTTCATGACTATATTTTCACTAAATTTATTTAAGTCTAACAACTGTAAGAACTGTATTAAATGAATGTTTACAATACCTTTTACAAATTTAGTTTACCCCTCATACTAAAAAGTTTATTCATGTTACCGTTGGAAAAACCTTTTTGGTATGCTCTCATAATATGACAATAACAATTAATATTAAAAAAGGTTATCATTATTTTACGAATTAACTCAATTTGTGTTTCTACATTTTTAAAATAAATATTTCCAACGTACTATTACCAAGATATAACTCGAGCCGAGAGTAGAGACTAGGATCTAGCGCTAAGATTTTGAGAAAGAAAACCCTGAAATTGACCATTCACAAATAATACTCATTCTTTTTCTGACCCTTTCATATAAAATATAATGAATGACCATGCAAATAATGACCTTTTAATATACATTTTGTATGAATAAGATTTTGTGATTACAATAATCAGAGTTTTTACATGAATAAGTGAACATATTTTACGTCAATATGAAAACATATAAATTAAAAAACAAAAACCAAAAACTCTATGTCTAATCATACAAAATAATTAAATATTAATTTTTTTTGGTAAGAATAAGTCATAGCGTTATTTGTAATATACTGATTATTCTTTAGTATAAATTTTAGTTGGAAATCAGTTTTTGAACCCTTTTTAACTATAACGCTAAGCTTATTTGATACTAGTCGAGAGCCTAGGACACTACAATACAACAAAATTCGTTGTGGTAAATGCAAAACAATGGTGCCGCACATAACGCACCGGCCTTTGTATTTAAATATTATATTTAACAAGGTAAACGTCATAATCATAAACACCATTTTCTTACCCAGGCAAACACGGTGACCGGCACTAAATGATAGGTATGTTTACGTAGTTATAAATGTTAGCTGAGCTCATTCGTTTTAATAAATAATAATACGATCAATCTGGACAATTGAAAAAACATGCTGCTAAATAATTGGTTTTACCAAAATATAAATCATCTACATACTTCATATCCACGAAACCTATTAATTATAAAGTTTCCAGCAATAAAATCCAACTTTCCCGGCGGCTATTCTCGAGATTAGATTTAAAACCTTTAAAAACAAAACAAAGAATCAATAAATTGATTGCTTTAAAAATATTGATTTGTAATAATTTGATTGACAATAAATAAATTTACATTTAACATGTACCTTTAATTTGAATATAACCGGTTTATAATGTGCAAAGCTCATATAGCTATTAAGCAATTTATATGTTTTGCGTGGCTCATTGAATACATAGTCAGATAATTGTATTATAAACATCAATTGTACAATGAATATAATCATGTTACAATGTCACAAATGTTTTCAATTGCTATTAAATAATTATGTTTCAATGTTGAACAAGTAATTTACATATGTATGATAATTAATTATGTTCACGAGTCAGTCTATATGAATAAAATAATTAAGTATGATAAATTACTTTTGCGTTTACATCAACTTATATTAGAAATTAGAAATAATGATTATTAATACATAATAAAAATAAGTTTACTATTTAAATAATGCTGATGGATAAAAATAATATTTAATTATCTATTTAAATGACAGCTATTGTTTTTATTATATTAAAACTTGACACAAAAAATTATTAAATTTTAAAATTATTTAATATTATTTTTTTTATATGACAATAGTTTTAATTTATTGCATATATTAAAATTGAAGTTTAATATTATTTTATAAATGCAGTAGTGAGTAAAGTACACAATTAAAGTGAACTAGTTTAGGTACTATATATAAATAAAATATTATGAGATATACATAAAAACATTTAGCTTATAAATATCTCAATTCAAAAAGTTCTAGAGTCAGCAATTCAAAATTATTTT